AGTCGAAAATTCAAACGAACTAAGAGTATTCTGTTGTCGCTTAAAAAGATATGGACGGAACCCACTCGGTAACGTCGACTCGCGCTTGCCATATCTTTTTTCGCTGGAGTTCTATTAATAGAGAGGCGATAAAAAGCTAGCTCGTTCACTATGTAAATTATGTTTTTGTTGTATTTTCAATTTCAATGTATCGTGTTATGTCCGTTTGTATGATTTGAATGACGTATGGGAGACTAGCTTTTTGCCCGCTACTTCGTTTATTTATTTATTTTTTATTGTACACAAAAAATTACAACATATAATATATATATAATAAAGATGTACAACAGGCGAGCTTAACTCTGTAAGAGTTCTCTTCCAGCAAACCCTGAGTGGAAAGGAGTATTAATTACTAGCGGGCAGTGTGCGTACAATAATAGACGGAAAAATAGTAGCTAAATAAATATAGTTGCTTTATAAAGACAATTAATATGCATAGATTACTAAGGTCAAGAGATACATTTAGAAGTTGGAACAAAGAGAATAAATACATACGAATTTAGTACGTATTATTCATAAATTAGAGTCGATATTCAATTGTGAATGTAATGATGGACGTAAGTTTCTACAAATAACTTATCTGTACATTGCACTAGTTGTTAAAGACTTTGTTTTATAGTTGTTTTTTGTTTTTTAATGAATGATATTGGAATGGTAACCCCGCCTGCGCTATCGGTATACACTGGCGGGGCACCAGTGATAGATGATAGGTGAGGATGAAAGCAGGCCAGCCCATCGTAATGAATTCCATTAAAATTAATCACGATGGTTTCCAAGGGGAACCGCGTGGAGGTCGATTTGATAGGGTGTATTGCTAGCAATGGGTCAGTTAGATCCCATTACTAACAATCTCTTTGATCCCTTTATAGTTTTTTTTGATGGGTGAAAATGGTATGGTAACCCCGCCTATTTTTTTTTAACGTCAGTACAAATGCATCATGCAGACCTCGTATAGGGCCTCTGGCCTCGTATAGGTACTGCCGGACTCCTACCGGGTAAACAACCTGACGATATACGAGGTTTGTCCGGAAAGTACGTATAAAAGTTTTTTAAAAATTTGGACGAACTCGTGCCACACGAGCTTTGAGGCGTCTGAGCACATCGACGTAGAATTTTCCATCAACTGTCTGGCCTGGAGTGACGAATTCTTGATGGACAATCCCCCGAACATCGAAAAAAACAATCAACATTGTCTTGACATTTGAGCGGGATTTTCTTGATTTTTTTGTTCGTGGTTCCCCGGATGTCTTCCACTCTTTGCTTTGGGATTTTACTGTTCTGAGATCGGCAAAAATTTCACGGCCATTCTTGCCGAGTTTCGAGAGAAACTTGATTACGACGCGCTGCTCTTCAACGGAAGCGGGCTCCATGCCGACGGGGTTTCGTTAAGAGGTAACTTCACAGATGGCGTGACAAGCCAGTTCGCACCGCACGGCGGTCAGACCAGAACTGAAGCATTGTTAGGGACATAAGGAAGGGGTCCTGCGCTTACCTGGCCTCCCCACTCCTCTTTCTCGCATTCCAGAACACTTTTATACGAACTTTCGGACAGACCTCGTACCTCCCAGCTCTAAACGACAATGCCGAGGAATCCCTTTTGAAATCGACTTCGACACTGACACGAGCCCCAATGAAGGGTAACTCCACTTCGGGGCGTGAAGGGTATATGCAACACGCCCCTCACACGGTCCTCATTCCCCTGGTGAGCTTTGGATGGCGTTAATCATCCTCCGCCCCGAGGACCCGATATGAGTTGATGCTCACCTAGGTAGGATTAGGTGTCCATCGACTCCACTACCCACACAAGGTTGATTTTTTCAATCGACTTCGAAAAGAAGGTGCTTCTCAGTTCGGTTGTTTTTTTATGTTTGTCGCCTCATAACGCCAACCCGCCTGCAAAACATGGCAACTACTGGCAAAACTCTCCTTATGGGGAAGCCTTAATCAGCAGTGGACAGTCAACGACTGTAATGATGATAATTCTTGATCAATTAATGATTTGCAATATCCCTTAAAAGGATACTAAGTGAGGGAAACTTTGTACAAAAGTCGTTTGCTTGGGCACCTCTGTCCCATTCGTGTTTCTACCTTGAAGCAGTTGTGTTTGCATGGCTGTGTTTCGGTTTGAAGGGTGGGATATGGCGTGAATTTACAGGGTACAGAGGAATAACACCTGAGTCCTCAGGAATGGCGACGCATGGGGGGTATCATCTGCGAAACAGTATACTCTGTTATGTCCATGGTACTGCTCATGTCTATAGGCGACGGTTAACACTTTCCATCAAGTGGGCCGTCAGCTTGTTTGCCTTTCTAAGTTGTATCGAGGATACTAAGTTGGCTCTAATGTAATATATATATGGAAACATATGTAAACACCATTTAGTGTAAATAAATTATTTGATTTTTATAAATATATTTTAGTGTTTCCTCCAAAAGATTACAATAGTAAACTCATTATAAATATAAACAAGTTTTATATGTATACCACAGATAATATAATACTATATTAGTATTATATCGTCATAGTCGTAGAATACTGACGGATATGTATATTTAATCTTTGTCAGATCCGTCAGTATTCTACGACTATGACGATATTCTCTGTGATAGTATGTCACGCGAATCCAGTATTTTTCCCCATTCCACAAAGTGCCCACAGATAAAGAAGTTTTCAATTCAAATATATAGCACTAATTCTGATTTCTTGATATTCAAATTACTGAGATCATGTCTGTATGCCTTTTCCAGGTTCATACCAGCCAAGCAATGAGCTGATGCTGCGCTTCTACAGCTACTTCAAGCAAGCGACAGACGGACCGTGCGACAAACCGAAACCAGGCTTCTGGGATGTAGTCAACAGGTATACTATTTTTTGTTTCTCATCCTACTTAAAAAATAAGCAGTTTCCCAATTTGGTGGTATTTTTCTTTCATGTTTGTTAGACTCCGGCTAGTCTCCGTTATGAACCTTGAAAACTAACTTGATCTCTTACTGTATTTCAGAGCAAAATGGGAGTCGTGGAACAAATTGGGCAACATGACTAAAGATGAAGCGATGCAAGCGTACGTAGACGAGTTACACAAGGCAAGTAGTCCATACGCGTTTTTTAAGAGGGGGCTGGTGGGCCGTGCCTACTCCAAAATTGTCTGGTGCCCACCCTAAGACGCGAGCAGAACTTTCAGTGGCATGCCTTTAGTTAATTTTAAGACATGGTTCTATTTGCAAAGAAAAAAAATGTAACTGCCTGATATCTGTACATAGAAGATACATATTTAAGAAAAAAATTGTTTTTTATACAACTTAGAATGGCAAACAAGCTGACGGCCCACCTAGATGGAAAGTGGTAAGCGTTGCCTATAGACATGAGCAGTACAGACATAACAGAGTATACTGTTTCGCACATGATACCCCCCATGCGTTGCCATTCCTGAATACTCAGGTGTTATTCCTCTGTACCCTGTAAATTCACTGCCATATATATTTTATCTGGATACGTCTTTTAGAAGTAGTCTATTTCTTTGGTTTCTTACTTTTGAAATTCACGTGCACGAAGTAGCGGGCAAATAGCTAGTTCATACCTATGTTTATTTTGCCTCCGACTTAAGCCGTGAACATATTTTTCATGTGAATTATTTTTTTCACAGATCGTCGAGACCATGTCGTACAACTCGGATGTAGCCTCGTTCCTGTCAGTGGACGACGATGACCAGGGTTTCCCCAGCAACGACCTGGAGTTGGTCGCGGGAGACATACTGGCTAGGGTCAGATCCACACAGAATACGCCTATAGGTGAGTTGGGGTTTTTTTTAATGATAACACTGGTACCTCCGCCTGCGCTATCGGTATAAGCAGGTGGGGCACCAGTGCGGAATGATAGGTTTTTTTTATGCGTGAAAATGGCATGGTTACCCCGCTTGCGCTATCGGTATACACTAGCGGGGTACCAGTGAGCGGTGATAGGTGAGGATGAAAAGGCAGGTCAGTTAGCCCGTTGTGCCAAATTCAATGATAAATTGGTCACGATAGTATCCAGGGGAAACCGCGAGGAGGTCGACCTGGTTGGGTATATTGCTAGCAATGGGATTCTCAGTCTCCATTACTAACAATTCCCTTCCCCCGACCTGATAGGGTATATTGATAGCAATGGGGACTAAACTCCCCATTACTAACAATTCCTTCCCCCCAAAGGGATATAGGTGAGGATGAAGTCAGGTCAGTTGGCCATTGTGACGAATTCACTAGGAATTATCTACTCTAATGGGAGACAGGCGTGACAGATATGTATGTAACCATGGATGCATGGATGAATGGATATTTGTTTGTGACTCATTGACGCAAAAACTACTGAATGAATTTGAATGAAATTTGGTACAAGGGTGAGTAAATTAGTACATAGAATATGTACTGATTTACGCGAGCGGAACCGCAGGAAACAGCCAGACCAATGTCTACAATGTTCGCATATGAAGTAGCGGGCGAAAAACGAATAACATCTTCAACACTAATATTTATAAGGAGGAAAGATTTGTATTTTTGTGTGTATGTATGTTTGTAATGAATAAACTTAAAGACTACTTTGTCGATTTTAAAAATTCTTTCACTATAAGAAAGCTACATTCACCCTGAGTAACATAGTCTATATTTATTGCTAGAAAAGATTAGGTATCCTTACTAAAACTTTAGTAACGTAACTCAAGGTATAAAAAATGCTATAAAATATCTTTGGTCGCGTGCGCTGCGGCAACTATTTGTGTTAGAACAAAAGTATGTTCTACAATATTGAAGAAAATATCAATAACTACAAAAAACTTCGTAATACTATATGTCCAACTATTATCGTTATGTCACAATAATCACTTTTTAAAATGTTGTAATAATGTCCACTCGTGCGAAGCCGGGACGGGCCGCTAGTATCTTATATTCGCATATGGGGTCAGCTACACCATTGCACGTCGATCCATCAGGATCTCTTGTGCTTCTACTATACATACTTATATAATTCTATTCCATTCTACTCTGTTCTCCAGAGTCGCGGTCGGTAAGCGGCGAGTCGTCCCCGCTGCGCGGCGGCTCACCCACCCGCGCCCGGCACGACGACGACGACGACGAGTTCATCGACACCGTCGACATGGACGCTGTGAGTACACATGCCATCGCTGCTGCACGTCGTCTGGTCCCAGCGTAGAATGATCCATCCATTTCCCGTGTGTGTCGTAAGAGACGACTAAAGGAACTTAATGTTCGAGGGATACGCAGCAGCGTCCTCCTTAAAACATTATCGGCGTGAATTTACTAGGTACAGAGGAATAACACCTGAGTCCTCAGGAATGGCAACGCATGGGGGTATCATGGGCGAAACAGTATACTCTGTTATGTCCATGGTACTGCTCATGTCTATAGGCGACGGTTACCACTTTCCATCAGGTGGGCTGTCAGCTTGTTTGCCATTCTAAGTTGTATAAAAAAAATATCACCAAAGCATAACTGCGGTTGCTAACCCGCCAGCTGAGAATTTTTTTAAACTACTATGGTGGCAAACAAATATACGGCCTGTCTGATGGTAAACGAGATCACCGTAGCCTATGGACGCCTGTAACAACAGGGGTATCACGCGCACGTTGCCGACCCTCAAGGAACCTTAATATAGCCTTTTTAAAGAGCCCCATACTGTAGTCTCTAGGGAAAATCTCGGCCGTAAGATCATTTCACAAGTGTGGCAACTACTAGCAAATACCCCCTTATGGGGGATGCCTGTGTTCAGCAGTGGACAGTTAACGGCTAATGTGATGATAATGATGATGATGATGAAAGATAAGAATAGCCACCTGCCCACTTCTATCTGTTCTCCTTTAACCAAAGTTTGTCTGTAAGAGATTGTCCTAACGATAAGACCGCCTTTTGTACCTTTATGTGTATATTTCAATCTGTATTTATGCTACTGTATTTCACTTGAATTATTCAATTGTCATTGTATATTTTTATTTCTGGTGCATTAAAGAGTTAAATAAATAAATAATCTTTTCTCAAACAAGCTTGGAAATGTGAGCATTATTTTGACAATTTTCTTCGAGATAAATCAAAATTGCCGTACTGGCCAAGTAGTATAAAATCCATATCTGTCGTGTTTTGCGGCCAGATAAATTACTATGTAAACTCATATCTGTCCTGTAACTTAAAAATGGAATGACTTTTACTTCGAAACATGGCTACCAAGGAGGTAACTAATAAAAGGTTTTATTTAAATTTCGAACTGGCTTGCAAATAGAAAGCTGTTTATTGAAAGAAAAAAACAAAGGAACATTATGGCGCGTGAAAAATTATTATTGTTCATTATTCGTCATTGAACTTAAAAAGTAAAATTGTGTTGTTGATTTCCGCGCATTGTTTGAGAAAAGTACTATACAAGCCTTGGCCACAATTAGGCATTGATGGTCTCATGTATGTGTGCCTCGGCTGCGCCTTGGCCCACATTTACACGTTTGTCCATCAATGTCTCAGTTGCTGGCCGCTGCAGTAATGTACTATTAACTTTTCTTGTATTTCTGTACATTACAGAGCGAAGCGGAGGCGGCCGCCCAGCGAGCTGCGCTGCGTCTCAGCAATGGACACGCACATCAGATATCCTCGCAGCTCACTCGTGAGTACACCTCGCAGTCATACTTAAAGGAGGTTGTTCCATGCCCATTCCAGAATTCTCTGGAGCCCACCGTACAACTATTTACCATAGGGAAACTGCAATGTAATGTAAATAGTACAGTAATGCCAGCCCAGCTCCGCCCAGAAGCACAGAAAGCTTTCTGGGAACCTACTTGCCTTAAGGTTCTCCACAACTTCTGTGCTCTCCCTCAAGATCGCCCTCCTCCTCCTCTAAGGAGGGGTAGGGTAGACCTGTATCTGCGCTTCTAAAGTTATAATTTTGAAGCAGAACCACGGGCACGCCCCATAGGGAATCAAAATAAAAGTCGTCTGTTTGGGTGCTTCAGTCCCATTCGTGTTTCTGCCGTCAAGTAGTTGTGTTTGCTTGGTTGTCTTTCGGTTTGAAGGGTGGGATATGGCATGAATTTACAGAGTACAGAGGAATAACATCTGAATCCTCAGGAATGACAATACATAAGGGGTACCATAATAGTGTAACCGGCATAATAGTGTATTTTGTTATGTCTACGGTTGATATTTATCCCAAAGAAATTTTATCAAAAATGGTTGAGTTTTTTTTTTAATGAATGATAATGGAATGGTGCCCCGCCTGTGCTAACGGTATACGCTGGCGGGGCACCAGTGAGGGATGACAGGTGAGAATGAAAAAGCAGGTCAGTTAGCCCATCGTGATGAATATATCTGGAATTCAGCACGATGGTTTCCAAGGGGGACCACGTGATGGTCGACTTGACAGGGTATATTGATGATATACTAGCAATGGGACTGGAAGCCCGCATTACTAACAATCCCTTCCCCCCAAATTGGTTGAGTAGTTTAGTTTTTAAATCTAAATAACTGGTTTTCCCATGATTAAAGCCGGTTTACTTTGTAACACAATTTTAAATTATTGAGCAGTCGTGTATGAAAATGGTTTCATGTTTGGTATCCAGATTTGAAAGTGTTGGAACAGCTGCCCGGCACCCTGGCACGGCTGGAGGCTGACGTGGCGGCGCTGAGGAAGGCAGTCGAGGGCGACCGCAGGATGCTTGATGTAAGTATTTTGTTTCTATTTAGTATCCTCTTGTCGGTGCAACTAATTCATATGTTCTCTTCCAGCCAGCTCTATTCCAGGCCATATCTCTTTGGGCAGTAGCGTCCCTCTTAAAGTATTACCAAAAGCCAAACTGCGGTTGCCAACCCGCCTGCTAAGCGTGGCAAATACTGGCAAATACCCCCTTATGGGGGATGCTGTGGACAGTTAAAGGCTGAAAGAATAAAGATATCATTCATTTACATATTTATTCATTCATTCATAAAAAAAAAGAGTGTGAATTTTTTGTATGAATGTTATGCAATTTAGAATGGCAAACAAGCTGACGTCCCATCTGATGGAAAGTGGTCGCCGTCGCCTATAGACATGAACAGTACCATGGACATAATAGAGTATACCGTTTCGCCCAATGATACCGCCCATGCATTACCATTCCAAACAACTCAGATGTTACCCTGTACCCTGTAAATTCACTGTCATATCCCACCCTTCAAACCGAAACACAGCCATGTAAACACAACTGCTTCACCGTAGAAACATGAATGGGACAGAGGTACCCAAGCAATCGACTTTTGTACAAAGTCTCCCTCTGGTAAACTAAACTATGTGGAGGTCGACCTAATATTGCACATTGCTAGCAAGGGGGCTGTCAAACTCTATTGCTAACAGTTCCTTTCCCTCCAAAAGCATGGGGTTGCTATTACACATAGTTAGCTAGCAATATACCCAATCAGATCGACCTCCTCGCGGTTCTCCCTAGAAACTATCACGGTTAATTCCTGATGAATTCATCATGATGGGCTAACTGGCCTGTTTTCATTCTCATCTATCACCCTTCACTGGTGCTCCGCCAGCGTATCCCGTTAGCGCAGGCGGGGTTACCATACTATTTTCACCCATCAAAAAAAAAAAACTCCCTGTCGTGGTCAGCAGCAGGCGCGCTGGCGCTGGCCGTGGCAGGAGCTGTCGAAGCCGACGCTGGTATTCGTGCTGCTGTGGCCGCTGATCGCCTTCCGGCTGCTGTCCCGTCTGCAGCGGCCCGCCAGGGACACGTGAGTACATTATTGTTTTTTTTTTTATGGAAAATATGCTTTTTTATATGCATGAGATAGATAGATAGATACTCTTTATTGTTTCCTCCAAAAGATTACAATAGTAAACTTATTAAAAATATAAATAATTACAAGAAATAATTACAGTGAGAAAACAATGGGCGGCCTTATATATATATACGTATATACATATATGCATACATATATATACACAATCAGAATGGATTGGTATGCCATTTATGTATTTTATTTTTGAGTTTAACTAGTAATGCGGCCCGACTTCGCACGGGTAGATAGAATTATTGAAAATATATAGCCTATTTTACTCGCTGATAATGTAGCTTTCTATATGTAAATTTTTTTTAATCAGTTGAGTAGTTTTGGAGTTGATCCATTACAAATAAACAAACAATGAATATGGATTAATTGTATTTTTTTTCCACAGGTCTTAACGGCATGGTACAACAATCACATAGTTATTATAGTAAGGGGAACAAAAAGTGTCTGATAGACTTAGTTGTCTGTGGTTTTTATGGTACGGATATCGTCTATGGTATCCAACTTTTGTGAATAATACGGGATTTTTATAATGTAGGTGTGTTGTGCGGTGAATTTTGTGATAACGTGCTTATGTTACTAGATGGCGTTAGTGGCTAGTATTTAACACTTGCCCAGTGATTGGTTTGGAAGCTCGACAGTGTGAGGCCAAGTTCGCATACATGTACATACGTACATGAAATGCCATCTATTAAGAAAATTTAGAACTTTGTAACATTCTTTGAAAGCTTTGATCGAGATAGAATGTTGTTTTTTGATTAGCATCCGTTGGGTCGTATGATTAATTGGTTTGTAATGTAAAAAAAAAAATGTGGACGAAGTCGCAATGTATTTATGGTCATTTGTAAAATATTGGTAAAAAAAAAACATTTTTTAACGCACGTTTTCACAAAATTCAACGAAAATTATGGTGAGGTGTAATATTTTTATATAGCTAATAGTTGTGACGTATGACTTAGCCTTTCGAACGCTCTACTTTGTAGCAGTCGCCGTGCCCCTAGCGTCCGACTCGAATCGACAACTGTGCATTGAACCTCCTTGGACGAATAATTTTAATATTCTAACTTTTTGTTCTATATTCTCTTTCTCTTTCAGTACTGTCTTAATGTAATTCGCCCGTAGCTAGTTAAATAAACGAAAACTACATACCTACAAAGACTTTCTCTGTCAGATGCGACACGAACACTACGGGCACGAAAATATTTGTTAAATAAATTCGATGGGGCGGTTAATAGGTTAAACTTTATTTATGTACATAATACACTGGTGCGCAGCTAAACAAAATTTGCTAGTAAGTACTGTTTTTTACTTGTTTAATTTATTAAACAATCATTGTGTGATTAGTATGAAAAATTAACATTAAAACTTAAGTCATACTATTTATTATAAAATATGAAATATTTTTGTTGCCTTTTAGCATTTTAACGACGTCATTATTAAATTTAACAGAAGAAGGACAGAGTATTTTTATTTCGACAAAAACAACATAAAAATGTCTCTGGCAAAGACAAGTAAAATATATATATATATATATATATATTATTATGTAAGTAAATTCAACTTTTCATTTAATTTAACCAGATATTTGTGTCGAATGTAAATATACAATAACACTTATACAGACAAATCATTTAACACAAAATACTTTTTATCCCTAGATATTTATTCATTTTAGGCGCTATAATTTCAAAGAAACATACAAAGATTGTTTATTAAATATTTCAAGAAAAAAAAAAAGCTACAACTGTTTAGACTTTATTTCAAACATGAAGTCTCATTCGACAAATAACTAAAATTACAACAACAAGAGGTAATGTGGTAAAATCGAATTCGATTTCATGCTTCGAAGGTAGTGTTCTTCCAACAAAATTGAACATTTTCACCAAAGGAACGTGGGTCGAAAAATGACAAAAGAAAATTGAACCTCTCATACTAGAGAGCGAGACGCGCCTTCTCAGTATGGGAGGTAATGTTAATTTATTCATCTATGTACTAAATATACATTACATATAAGCAACGGTTACCATTTTCCATCAGGTGGGCCGTCAGTTTGTTTGCCATTCGAATTTACATAAAAAAAATATACTTTTGCTACATAAGTCGAGAATAAATAATGAAAAACTTTACATTCCACATTATGATGAAATCTGTTAACAAAATCTTTATTAATTGTTAAAGAAATAAATAAAAAAATATTGATGAAAGAATTTGAACTCTTATTTCAGCGTATTAAAGTTTAATTTAGTTATATATCAAATAAGACTTTGTATTTGTATTAAAGTATAACGAACGATTACATAATTGAAATGTATAACCAAAATTGTAATGTCAAAGTAGAAACTTGGATGGAACACTACCGTGCCACTTTTATTCCATGATTTCTGTGCACTATTAGGGGACCCACGATTCGGTGTTTGTACGTATATCATCGGACTTAGCTTTATATTCTAGTTCGTTAAAAAAAAAAAAAAAAACAATTCTTTTTACCATACTGCCAAAGAAAAGGGTAAATTTTTTTTTGTTCGCGTTCTATTTGACGAACTAGTGTATAAGGCTGACAAATTCAAAACCATATTGCATTTTTGATATATATTTTTATGTTAAAGGTTTTTCTAAGGTTTTTTTTTGATGGGTGAAAATGGTATGGTAACACCGCCTGCGCTAACGGGATACGCTGGCGGAGTACCAGTGAAGGGCGATAGATGAGAATGAAAACAGGCCAGTTAGCCCATCATGATGAATTCATCAGGAATTAACCATGATAGTTTCCAGAGGGAACCGCGAGAAGGTCGACCTGGTTGGGTATATTGCTAGCAATGGGATTCTCAGTCTCCATTACTAACAATCCCTTTCCCCCCGGTTTTTCTTAGTTAGTTACTTCGTATTGTAGGTACGTTTGTTACTCTTGCACGCGAAAGCTACTGGCCGGATTGGATTGAAATTTGGTTCATGCATAGTTTGCCCTAACCTCTGGAAACCATCGTGATACATTTATTGTTGAATTTGTCACGATGGGCTAACTGACCTGCTTCCTCTTCACTTGTCATCCTTCACTGGTGCCCCGCCAGTGTATACCGATAGCGCAGGTTTTTTTTAATGGGTGATAATGGTATGGTTACTCCGTCTGTGCTATCGGTATACACCGGCGGGATACCAGTGATAGATGACTGACGAGGATGAAAGCAGGTCAGTTAGCCCATCCTGATGAATTCGACTAGAATTAGCCACGATGGTTTCCAGGAAGAACCACGTGGAGGTCGACCTGACAGGGTATATTGCTAGTAATGGGGCCAAATAGCCCCATATCCCAAACAATCAAAAAATAACAATCCCTTTCCCCCCGATAGCGCAGGTTACCATTCCATTATCATCAATAAAAAAAAAACCTAACCTAACTTTGAATACAGTATACTTTATACATTGATCACGCGGACGCGGACGAAACCGCGGGATAGAGCTAGTATTCTATATAAATATCAACAGTACACTTTCAGACTTTTGTACACACAAGAAGTTTCACATTTGAACAATCCGAATGAAAAAACTTTTGGCGGTCTTTTGGCGTTGCGTTTTTAGGACGGTTTTTTGATACGACACTTCATCTAGATGTATATGATTTATTACAATTAAAAATGTATTTATTTATCATTCCATAAAATAAAAAAAAAAGTTATTTACAACGCAAAAGGTTATTTATGAGGGTGCATACCTAGGGGTTCTACAACTGCCTTAAATAAAAAAAAAAACAATTTTCAATATTTCTGAATGAATTATGGAATTGTTGTTCACTATCAGTGAACAAAAACGTTAGTCTCGCAATAATTCTGAGTCCAGGAATGGCAACGCATGGGGGGTATCATGGGCGAAACAGTATACTCTGTTATGTCCATGGTACTGCTCATGTCTACAGGCGACGGTTACCACTTTCCATCAAGTGGGCCGTCAGCTTGTTTGCCCTTCTAAGTTGTATAAAAAAAATCTGGACCGGTAACGCTCTCTTGACATCCCTAGTGTTGCACGTGTCCATAGACTAGAATGACCGTTTACAACCGTTACAATCAAACGGGCTGTATACCAGTTTGCCATCTTCGTGGTATAAAAAAAAAAAATGTTCCGAAATATTGGAAATTGTTTACTTATTGGTATCAAAGAATCTGTGTTTGTTTTTTAATTTACAAATAATTAAGAGTCGATTCTGAGGCGTCATATTTTTTAACCTATTTCTTAAACTAATATTTTATAATATCGCAACATTTCTGTTTTATGGACCATTGTCAAGTAATTTTAACGTAAATCTATTAGGAATTTATTTCATATTGGTCCTTGGAATAAAGATTTCGCTGGTATATCAAATTGTTTTATTTTTAAAGATAGATTTAAAGATAGGAGGCTTCAGAAACGACCCCGTTGGCACACATAGGTAAGAGCTTTCATAATTGCCGAATGTACATTATTGTGAATACCTTGCTTATATTTTTTTTATTTGTACATATCGACTATATTCTTTCGCATTCAATTGTTACCTAATTTCATATTTTTAATATTTTTATACACATATTTAGATAAGTGGCAACCTATGTTGTTTATGTATGTTATTTGTGATATATAGTTAATAAACAGTTACCTATATATTGTTTTTTTTTTATTTAACCTGTACCATATCAGCCTTTAACTGTCAATGTCCATGTCCACTTATATATATATATATATATATATATATATATATATATATATATATATATATATAAAAATAAAAAAACTTCATTGCTGAACATAGACCTCTCACTATTGGCAAGTGGTTTGAGATCGCAGTTAGACAATGGTGATGTTAAAAGAGGGATGCTGCTGCTCATCCCTCAACCAGAGGGAGACTTTGTACAAAAGTCGATTGCTTGGGTACCTCTGTCCCATTCGTGTTTCAACCGTGAAGCAGTTGTGTTTGCATGGCTGTGTTTCGGTTTAAAGGGTGAGATATGGCGTGAATTTACTGGGTACAGAGGAATAACACCTGAGTCCTCAGGAATGGCAACGCATGGGGGGTATCGTGGGCGAAACAGTATACTCTGTTATGTCCATGGTACTGCACATGTTTATAGGCGACGGTTACTAATGGTCTGGTAAATAATGAATGATACCCCCCACGCGTTGCCATTCCTGAGGACTCAGGTGTTATTCCTCTGTACCCTGTAAATTCACGCTATATCCCACCCTTCAAACCGAAACACAGCTATGCAAACAACTGCTTCACGGTTGAAACACGAATGGGACAGAGGTACCCAAGCAATCGACTTTTGTACAAAGTCTCCCTCTGGTAGTAGTCTAATATAGTTAGATAGATAGATAGATATTTCATTTGTATTACTTACAGCACACAAATGAAAGAGTTTTTAAATTCAACAAAGCATTTTTGCGTTTACAAATTATATACATAAATAGATAGTTTATTTGCATTATTTAGAGTACATAAATAACAATACAAACATACACATAATACAGACATACACAGTAAAAAGAGATTAAAAAATGAAAAACAAAGCAACAAAAAACAGCAGAATATATAAAACAACAATTTCCTTCTTTCGTGCGTGTGTCACAGTAACACAAAATGGTCACAACTCAGTTTATTGCTTCGCCCTCAAAAGAGCAAAACACTGACATTACGTTCCATTTTTTTCCTCTTTATCTATACTTATAATAAATCTGTAGAGAGGTCAATTCTGTACATGAAATATATTTCCGAAACAACTATCAGCGGGTGATTAGTGATCGATACTGATGCCAAAAATGCAATCAGTAAAATTTTTGTCTATCCGTCTGTATGTTCGTTATAGAAACAAAAACTACTCGACGGATTTTAACGAAACTTGATACAATTATTCTTCATACTCCTGGACAGGTTATAGTATACTTTTCATTACGCTACGATCAATAGGAGCAGAGCAGTGAAGGGAAATGTGTCTGTTACATCAAAACCACTGAACCGTGAGGAAGGAGTTAGCTATTTATTTTACGAAAAACGACGGAAACGCGGACGAAGGGGAACAGCTAGTAGGTAATATTGGTTTACACTTACCTAGGTATAAAGCTGGTATGCGTGCCACATTGTACACGATTTATCCAATCACTTTATATTGATATAGGATTTATTAATATATACGCAAAAAATATACCGTATTTTTATTCATACAGGTACTTTTGATAGTGTGCAATTAATATTATTTGTAGGTGTGATATGCTATGCAGTGTTGCCAACACAGTTCGATGTTTTCGGGCTAAACCGAAATAGTAGGGGGAAAAGGGATTGTTAGTAATGGAGACTGTGAATCCCATTGCTAGCAATATACCCAACCAGGTCGACCTCCTCGCAGTTCTCGCTGGAAACTATCATGGTTAATTGTTTTCATTGTTCATTGCTCATGTCTATAGGCGACGGTTACCAATTTCCATCAGGTGGGCCGTCAGCTTATTTGCCATTCTAAGTTGCATAAAAAAACTTGTGATTTACTAATAATGCATATTGAATTTATTTAGCTTACATCTATATATTATACTTGTGTTCTTTTGGCGTAGGCAGAATCAATGCAACGCTAAATACTCCGCTTCAAACAAACCTCTTTCGATTCCTCCACATTCACCAATCTATTCATATACGCTTGATAGTTACGTGTACTTTTAAATCCAGAAGCAATAAAAACAGACAATTATTAATTTGGTTTTTAATTCAACCACTCTGGAAGTTAATTTTTTTAGTATTGTTTCTGGTGAATACTTAAGTAAATAAGAACATAATAGGGCTAGATTCGAGGCTAGGGGATAAATAAAATATTACAGTATATCACAGCGCTATCTAGTCTTAGGCCAAGCAGAGCTTCAACTATGTGTACTAAACAATAGATAGACATACTTAAATACTTTTTTTTTGTAAATACTCTTTTTTGTAAAACACCCAGACCTAAAGAGATATACTTGGCAATATTTTTATATTGCCTCTTTGTATTGTGCCACTGAATGAAGAAAAAAGGGCTAGATGCATTTCTCAGGTGGCTACGTTGGCAACACTGGTGATGTGACGTACAAACTAAATAGTGATAGTGACAGTACTGAGACGCCGTAATAAAGTACCGACCATAGACAATTAAATAATAATAATGAAACGCACGTTATTGCCCTTTTTTAATAGATAATAATGGAGAGATAATGTTTAAAGAGGGACGCTACAACCCATCCTTTAACCATTGTTTTCTCTTAGTCGACTTTTATGGTATCCATAGGAAGGGAAAGGCTAGTAGTCTAGTCTATGCCGGGACTACACTACTTTTATTCCATATCTAATCTAATATTTAGTTAATCCATATCATTCATTATAGATAGGGAATCACATATATATGGATGCATCGATTTTAAGATTACAGTGTATTACTTTATTTTACATTACACACTTCAGTAAAAAAAAAAAAAAATAATAAATTTAAAAATAATAATTGTACAATAGTAATTAGTGTAACTAATTCAGCAAAAAAAAAACATATTTGTGAACGTCCCTCTTTAACATCGGTTGAAAAGATGAAAAATTTAGAAAACTTCGTCCTGTTGAATGGTACTGCGGGTAATAAATTGAAATGTTACATCTGTAAAGTATTTGTACCTAATAACAAACATTGTGTAATCCAACATATCAATGGAAAGAGACATACCGAGAATTACAATGATCTACTTAAAGAAAATATGATAATATTTATGGACGATAGCAAGAGAAAATTTTGCCAAGTGTGTTATAAATATTTATCTGAAGAAGAAGTCATTGGCCATTTGAAGGACAAAGGACATAAACGTCAGTTGAAGACACGCGTTGTATCACCTTCACGCAGTTTGAATAATAGAAGCGATGATTATCATCACCATGGTGATGCAATAGTGATAATGACAATATTCATGACGACTATAATTTTTAATCTCTTTTTTAAACAATTCAAATGGCAAACAAGCTGACGGTACACCTGATGGAAAGTGGTAACCGTCGCCTATAGACATGAACAGTACCATGGACATAACAAAGTATACTGTTTCGACCATGATACCCCCTATGCGTTAAGATTTCTGAGGACTCAGGTGTTATTCCTCTGTACCCTGTAAATTCACGCCATATCCCACCCTTCAACACCGAAACACAGCCATGCACACAACTGCTTCACGGTTGAAACACGAATGGGACAGAGGTACCCAAGCAATCGACTTTTGTACAATGGCGATTTTTATTCAGAATTTCCTTTCAACGATACAAGTTTCGTGCACAGACTAAGCAACATGAAGGAAACATTGTTTATACTTTTTATTATTGGTATAGGTGCTTATACGCTAATGATATATGAAATATGGTAATATTTATATTAAGAGAAGATTTGCACGCCATTTATGGTAAAATATGGAGGCGTAATAACCTATTAATGTAACATCTGTAATAACCCATATTTGAGCAAATAAATTATATTATTTAAATTTCACTAAAATTCTCATCTCCCCTCTTAAGGAGAGGAGATGGCAACTAACCCCCGGCAGAAGCACAGTCGGCCGGGGTTCAGGGCCCCAGGGAGAGAAACCGGCGTACAATGCGGGCAGAATCTAAGAGCACCGCTTTCTGCATCTTTCCCGGGAGTGAGCCGCCTCGGAATCCCAACCGTCTGAGATGTTGTTCCAGACTGGTTGGGATAAGACCGTTCACCGACATAACGATTGGGATGATTTCGGTAGATGTCACCCCCCACATTTCGGTCACCTCGTGAGCCAGGTCGAGATATTTTCTCTTCTTCTCGGTTTCGGCTTTCACGAGGTTCTCGTCATGCGGTATGGTGACATCCACCAAAAACACCCTCGAGAGTGCCCGATCCATCACCACGATATCAGGTTTGTTTGCAAGAACGGTTCTGTCCGTGATGATGGATCGGTCCCAGTAGAGCCTTACGCTGTCGCTTTCGAGGACCGGCTGGGGCTCGTACTTATAGTACGGCAACCTCTCATTCGCGAGGCCGTACTTCAGAGCTAGCTCTTGATGGAGTATTTTGGCTACCTGGTTGTGTCTGTGCAAGTACTCAGTGTTGGCAAGAGCTGAACAACCCGAAAGCACATGTCTGAGTGACTCTCCGGGATGGCGACATGCCCGACAGATGTCCTCAGTGCCATCCTTCAGAATGTGCTTTCGGTAATTGTTCGTCTTAACCACCTGATCCTGTATTGCACAGACAAAACCCTCGGTCTCTCCGAAGAGATCACCGAACTGTAGCCAGTGCACGGAGGTCTTCGTGTTTACGTACGGCCCGTGAAGGGCTTTGAAGAACCTTCCGTGCATCTCCTTCTCTTTCCATACGGCCTCCCGCTGAGAGGTACCCAAAACTTCGGGTTTTCGCCAGTCCTCTTTAGCCAGAGAAAGAGGGGTGAATCCTTTGTCACATTCTATGACCTCTCTATGCAAACCCTCGTCTATTTTCTCCAGAAAATATGTCCTGAGGCTGTCAACCTCGCGGTTGTGCATGGTCTTAACACTTAACAAGCCTCGACCACCAGCCTTCCGCGGGATATACAGCCTCATGACTGACGATTTCGGGTGATGCATTCTATGGAGGGTCATAGTTGTG